AGAATAATATTATACCGGTTTCGGTTACGGTCACGGATATGAAATCATTTCAGATTATCCGAAAGTCTCGGATAATTTCGGTTACGGAATTATTAGAATTTCAAAAATGTAGGTATAATACAAATAGCAAGATGCTGCGTGAGCGTGACCCACATAGCTACTTTATGTACCAACTAAGACGACACCTATGTATGATAAAGGTAAAACAGGCTGGCATATTAGATGGTGCCAGCGAATGCCAGACAAGTTGGTAACAAATATTAAGATTTAAGGTACAATTCCAAGACGGGCCGCAGACCGCAAACTGCAACCGCAAACTGCAAAACTATGAAATCGGCAGCGCGGCATTGCAGCTGCGGCGTGTATACTGCAAATTTCATAGAGTTTTGCAGTTTGGCCTTTATCCGAAACTATCCGTAACTTTTGAATCAGTTTCGGTTACGGTTATGGACATTTTTTTATTTCGGATATCCGATAGTTTCGGTTACGGTTACGGATATCCATAACATCCCTGCTTGGTAAGATGGCCCTCTCCGTCCCGCTCATACCTTTTAAAATGGCTTCTCCACCTCACTTAAGCCAGAAACTTGAATTTTGGGCACATTAGAATAATATTTTTAACCAAGGTAGATAAAGTTAAAAACGGGATTATTTCCAATAAACAAAAATTGTCGACAATTACAGCAAGATTTTACAAAGTGTTATACCATTTTGGAATCCTTACTAAATGCGCCAAATTATGACGTCACTTGCCACACTCGCGTAGTACAATTTTTTTTCAGTACAGTCAGTTTAAACTAGGCAAAATTTTTATTTTGATATTTTTTTTGGGAATAATGTATTTTTTTCATCCAAGCTGGAGCAGCTGGTTTTGTAATTTTGATAACAATTTAGAGAAGCATTATTCAGGGTTACATAACAAAAAAAAAAATTTGGAAAAAGTGAAGATTTGTGGCAACACGAGTAAAAGGACCGTCACCTGGAGTAGAATTTTTTGATTATTTTTAAATGCCTATTATTTTTAAAATATGCCACATAGATTTTTTTTAATATTTTTCTGATAACCAACACAACTTGCCTCAACACCCAGTTCCGGCTTGACGTTACATTACGGGACACCCTGTATATATATAATATAGATTACGGTCAAAGTGATAAATGTGAAAATTATTAATAATCGCCGGTTATTATGAATAATTACCGCATGATTTGGTAAATGTGATTAATATGAGATCATTTATGTGTGTATAAAACTAAATAGGCGGCTTAGGGGTGGCCCAAGGGCCACCCCCGCCGCACCTTAACCTATTTTTCACTTTAAATCAAAACAATTTGTTATAGGCATTATGGCAAACTAAGGTTACGCAAGAAACAGTCCAAACTCATTTTGCCAAATTATAATAATATATGATATCAAAACGTTCAAAATGTGAGGCTGTACATGAGCGCTGTACACGAGCCGGTGTTCTCTTTTATGATATTTGTTAGTTTTAAGGTTACATTAAGAAATAATCACTGACAAATGTGATTAATTTATCACTTTTACCTCGCCTGTCGGTAATTATTCATAATAACCGGCGATTATTCATAATTTTCAATTTATCACATTAACCGTAACATATATATAGATTAATGGGAGTCCCGATTTAAAATAGTCAAGAGCCCGGTGTGAATTGAAGTTTATACCGCTGACGCCATGCGTGCGTATGTAGTACATACGAAGTTGTCATCATTCTGACCGCACGCGGCGCGATGTTCTCTCAACATGAACATTGTCACGTTCGTGATGAAAAACAAGCTGACTATACGATACGTGTACGTGGAGAAACACTACAATGTCGATTGGTAAGACTTTAAACTGACCAATCGTGACCAAATGTTACTTAGTTGATTGGTTATAAGAAGTTGTCAGTTCGGTATAAAAAAACAGCAGTCATTATTCTCCATTCTCATACAGAAGACAACACAATTTCTGCTAAAATGAAAGGTAGTATTTCAAACAAGTATCCCTAAACGGGAAAATCGTTTCTAATCTTCGTTGTAATACGAGAGCTCGGAATGAAATTCGAAATGAAAAAATAATATTTGTAATTTCGTACCTGGATGGCAACAAAGACAGCTGGGTCGGGTGTGGAAGGCAAAGATTAAATTTCGAGAGTTATCTTTTAAAATCGAGTTACTAATCTTGGCCGCGGCTTAAAATAGCGTTGGTTTTGGACGAGTTTCCTGGTACTGAAAATAAGATATAATTTATTAAAGAAGAAGTAGGCGTACAATATTTTTATTATGTTCCAGTAACTGTAGATAAGTTTTTTTTTGCTGGTGTCAAATCATAACTTCGAGTAATCTGGTTCACGTAATACCATCAAACTTTTAAAGTAGATTTTTCAAGCGTCAGATAAGTTTGATCTCCAGAATTAGTTTGACAGTTGTGTATTTCTAGGCATAAACTTTATTCGTAAGATAAAAATTGTTTGACACAGATTAACTTTTTTAGACTTAAGGCTTTTGGTAACCGAAGCATGTGTATCTTTACATATTTAATACATAATAAACGAAAAAAAATAAAAACCAGTTAGAGATCTGATAATATACACAAAACACAAGGCCGTTGAAACGGAAATATGAAACAAAGTTAATAAAATCCAATATCTGTGTGGTTTTTTTTAATAAAGTAAACTGCCAGTCATAGTTACCGAGCCATGCCAGATGGTTTGTGCGGCCAAAGGCAAAACTATAGAAGTAACTTCATTAGTTTGCATTGCATGTCAAATTGCATATCTCTGATCGCAGCAACTACAAAAATCATGAAACAAACAAAGTACGAGTACAACATACGTACCGCATCACGCATGATGAACCGATTTATTTAAGTTTCAGTTATAAAGACATTTCATAGTATAATTTAATTAAGACTGTAAAGAAATAGCGTTCATGTTGTAACAGATTTATGTATACTAATTTGCGGCATCTTGTCATTTATGATGACGATCCAGATTTTAGTTTGTCTCTTTAGGAAGTTGTAGTAGTTTCATTATTTTTATCGTTCACTTGGCTTTCATCAATATTTGAGCCAAAACCACTATGCGAATATTGGACTTCTGTGTCGGTCCAAAAGGGGTTTTAGCAAACAAATTCCGCGTTTGAATTTAACCCCTTTGAAACCGTGTGAGAGCTCTCTTATGTAACTCTCTGAAGTCGTTACTTTTTATTTTTAGCACTTCAACATTTACTTCTAATTGCAACAAAATACTGATATTAAACAAAAATTCGGAGTGATTGATGTGACCTTTTATAATAAAATTTATCACCATGAATATATTGTTTATCTCATCAAAAATATATTTTAGAATTGAATAATTTGTAAAAAAATACCAAAAGTATTGTGTAATCATCAGTAATAAATAATCACCCAAAGGCAGAGCCCTCTTTGTCTACCACTGATAAATCATAATTATATGATAAGTCAAGTTAACATACCCGCATTTTTCCCAAATAGAGATATCGTTAATGATTGATCCGTGTAATTGAATAATTTCGGCAGCTACTCGGTCGGCTGCGGAGCGACGATTGGAGGCCGGCATCCGATCGCCGATAATGATATTGACAGCGCTGGCAAACAGCCAGGTGGCGCGGAAATTTGGAATTACATGACTTTATAATTATATTTTATCTATTCGTATGCGCAAGTAGAAAGTGTGTGTTAAGATTATTGCCTTGCACAGAAACTAAAATCTTTCTCCGACTAGTCGACTAATTTTCTGGTGAATGACGCTGCGAACCAATAAAATAGAAGTAAGTTTTTCAATATTATTATTATTGTCCACTTAATAAAATGTGTTACGTTCAACTCTTTTATTCAAACGTAAACAGTATTCGTAGCATAGATCCGTAGAAAACAATGCAATGATCGCGTCGTAGCGCCGTGCTACGAGACTGTCTACGAATCTGCTAAGAAATGTTTGCATGCTACAAGTCGCTACGGCCGGCGCTACGTGATACTACGAAAAAATACTCCACAGGTTAGCTACGAGAATGAGATAAGATTGTAAAAAACGGTCAAGTGCGAGTCGGGCTTATGCACCGCTGGTTCCGTACAAACTTGTAAATATAAATAGTTAGCAAAAAATTGTACCTCGTAGATCAAATCGATATTTTCCTAGAATATATTGGAAATTCACAGTCCCAAAGGAATGGAAGGTATACGTTAATGCAGCTTGACACCCACTAACTCCCAAGTCCCAACCCACTAAGGCTTTCTAACAATCTCCGTTGTATAGGTATCCAATCTTTATGTCAGTAAATAAATAATAAGCCACAGCGCACACAATAAAATGCCGGGGAGATAGTGAAGTTTATTTATCGTCGTAATTTGAGGTTACACTCTAATTTAGATAGCCTGATTTGTCGGGAGTGTTTGCTTGGAGACGATTCCTGAAGGTCTTGTTCTCAATATTATTCATTATGTAAGTTATGGACACGGGAAAATTAGTATAATGAATATTATGATTTTGTTGGACGCCAGACTAACAGCAAAATTGGAGCAACTTCGTCGACAATATCAACATGGCACAACACAATATCTTAAAACTATTTTTTTTTGTCATTGAAAAATTCATTAGTTGTTTATTTATTTGAAAAGTTGTAAGCTACTCAATAGAGTATAATATTGGTTATAATTAGTGGCATTGTACTTTGACAGCTGACAAAAAAATCGTGGTGTACCCTTACCACTGTGATTGTCCTACAGTCAGAATCAAATAGTTCATGGAACACAAAGTAGCCAAAAAGTTCATATCACGTTTTTTTATGTGGCAGGAGGCAAACGGGCAGACGGATCACGGGACGGGCAGTCCTAGGGGTGTGACATGTGCGTTGCGGGCCTTTAATTGTTGAAAGCTTGAAGGTCGTACGTCTTCGTAGAATAGGAATAAGGTAGCGTTGTAATATTTTTGCCCACTTTGGATGTCATGAACTATTTGAAGCTATTCCTCACTGACCTTGATGAGCAGCTGGTCGCGGTACAGCCCCCAGCAGTCGGCGTACACGCTGACGGCGAGTCGCAGCTCTGCGCGCGCGCCGAGCACGCCGTTCGCCGGCTCTAGCTGTATGGCCACGCCGGGCTCGTGCACGTCAGCTGCCCACGCGTCTAGAGAACAAGCAAACAAATTATTAAAGCCCGGTTTCTTTTTTTTTATGTGACAGGAGGCAAACGAGCAGACGGATCACCTGATGGTAAGTGATTACCGTCGCCCATAGACACCCGCAGACCCAGGGGCGTACAGGTGCGTTGCCGGCCTTTAAGGCTACCAAGGCTGAGCGGAGTAGAAAAGTCTAGTGTTTTGAATAACCAATCAGATTTCATCATTTCCATTTCTCTTCTCCGCTCCGCACCGCGCTCCTCCGTTGTCAAATTTTATAGAAAAAAAAATGACAGTCCGTCACTTCTCCGCTCCTCTTTGCTTTGATGAAAACCGGGCCTAAGAGCACAGCAGTCTCTTTGTAATGCTTAAAATTCCTTTTAAACCAATGTTTTCCATAAATAAAACTAAATAATGTAATTTGTTTAATAGTATAAGTTTATTATAAAAAAAATTGTAACACTAATATTGTTGAAAGCAGGTTCTTCTTTTGCTAAATGTATGAAAGATGGAAACATTGGATTTTCGGATAAATCTAGTTTATTCTGTAACCTATTTTATTGGTACCGTTTAATAGAACTCGTAAAGCACTTTTAGGATGAATAACCAGTTTTTCGATATCTTTGTATAGTTGAGAGATCACTTATCGTTTTCACCTCGTATAATATAATATTAATCGTCCCTTAACTAACAACACTGCTTAAGTCGATTTTTGGCAGTTTTGACATTTTAATGTCATTGGATAGATCTAATTTGTATTTGTTTTTAATTTGCTCAAATGATACCTTATTTATTTTCTCAGCAACATTTTTGCCTAAGTGCCTACCTCGACTGGTGGAAAAGATGGAAGTTTTTAAGAAAATGAATTCAGTGAACAATGAAATGGCTTTCGCAACAAATCGCAAACTCGTAAGTCCTTTCCTAAGCCTCGGGTTAATCCAATCGGGTTTGCCCGTTTCTTTTATCGCAATTAGAACTCGACTTTAACCTTTTCAGTCGCTATAAAACCCAGCTCACGCACATGAAGAGTTTAGTGGAGATAGCTGCACGAGGGCCTTACAAATAGTTGACACACGCATTCCTTATTTCATTCAGGCGGAGGTACCGTCCAGCTATGACATTCAAATTTCAAACAAAGACAGGTTTTTGTCTTATTTCATTTAAAACACTGTTTGCAAAGTACGCAACAGTGAGGGTATATTACACCGCACGCAAACACAAAGGGGTATGTAATATGTTTTCACGTAGCTATGTGAGGAATTGAGATTTTTTATTTTCCTTGTGCTCATTTTGGCGTCTTCAATTTCTTAATATCCAGACTAGGAGGCGGGGAAAACAAATAATTTGACAAAATGTAAATACCAGTTTGCTCCGCTAGAAACTCCGCGCTTGTGTGTACGCGCACTTAACTGGGGATTAAAGAGCAACGTATTGTCAATTTAAAGTGGAATCGACGACCTCTTTTAAGCCAAGTCCTACATTTAAAGCGCCGATAGGTTTCCGTCCAAGTGGATCCGGTGACGTGAGAGTAAAATGTGTTAGGCAGGCGGATTCAAAGAAAAAATAATACAACCAGTTCAAGTTATGAGTAGTTTTCGTTCATTACTTTTTTTGTTTCTTACAAGCCAATCTGGAAATCATTGGGGCCTGGCCTATGTTCAACAGTAGTGGCCTGTAGCTAAAATTATCCTGAACATCTAGTAGAATGTGTCATATAAATATTAATATGTATTTTTTGCAAGTTTTATCAGAGAAATAAAGAAGCTTCATGATTTTATTGCATCTACATACAGCAAATTGAGAAGAATCTACTCAAAGCTTCTACAGTTCACGAAGATGTTTTTCTACATGCAAGTAGGTATATTAGGTTTTAAATAATCGGTACAATTTTGAAGATTTTCTTAAATTAATTTAAAAGCCTACTTAAATGATTTGTCATTTAAGAGTATGTAGTTGTTTACTTCTGTGGCTTCTAGCATTACTGACTTGGCTGTTCTTCTCAGACTGTGCTTAAGGCCCTGTTCAGCGGTGACGAACGATTTAGTGCCCAATAACTTGGAAATACGACTTATCGCCGGGCACAGGTGTGTTGTTTGCATACAAATCTACCGCGGAAGCGACGTGCTCAAATTGAACGGGAAAAGTCGTTTTTAAAGTAAGGAAACCGCGAATTTCGCGGCAGAGTTTCGCTTCGCTGGATTTGATACAAACTAGGAAACAAACTATACTATTATTATTATTATTTGTACGCTTTGGAGCTCACGGGTCAAAAGTGGCCCGGTCCTTTACAGGCTTGCGTGGGGATACAGATCCAACACATTATTANAAATTTATTATTATTATTTTAGTTTTTACACTTAAGTGTCTCAGCTTTAAGCCGGTATTTCAGGAATGTACGGGCCTAAGCCAAGTACATTCCCACCCAATACAAATAGTGATTTACGTCGGTTGGCGAGGATGATCATGGTCCTGAAGAAATTTGCGAACTATTCGGCAAGTATTTAAAATGACTGCTTTCTGAAGTGAAATATATGTAAGTTCTGGGATGTTTAGGGTGGAAAGTGATTGGTGTAGCTGCTTTGGAATAACGCCTGTGGTAGATAGCACAATTGGCACAATGTTTACCTCATTTAACCTCCACATTCTTTTTACCTCATCTTTTAAATCTATATATTTGGATAGTTTTTCTGCTATTGAATTTTGTAAATTATGCGTGTTAGGTATTGCTATANTCGCTTTCGGGTAGTAATATGTCAAAATTGTTGGTTCTTTAGGCGAACAATGTATGGAGAACGAACATTGTCCTTTGCTTCGTTCATAGAAAAATACTTACACACAGTTTACTTCAAAACTTAATAATGGTCCGTGAAAATGAACCTTAACCTTTAAAAATTAAGACCCGTGAATTAGATTTTCAATATTTTTTTTTCGCGAAACATACCACGAATAAGAATAAGTAATTGAGATAAGGTAGTATTGTTAAATTGTTCTATAGAGCTTATTAAAAAATTTGGATACTGATAACAAAATCACCCTGTATGTTACCGGTATGTGTACAGTTGTACACTCTATCAGATAAAATATTATGTGAGATTGAATCCGAGTTCATTTGAGGACAGTAAAAAACAAGACATCAAAGAAAAATAATGATGTATCCCCCACATTATTATTTTCTTTTGTATTGTGCGGTTCGTATATCGGATCAAACATGTACTCGAATTAATTTTATTAAGTGGGGGCTTCTTCTATGAGTATCTTTATTACTTTTGGTTTTGGAAAAAAGGATTTTAAGAAAATGCCTATTATTTTCTCATAATGTAGAAAAGCAATCTCAGTATGGTTGAGTTATGTGAATGGTACTAGACTTGCCACTTTCTTGAGACTGTACTCCATTCCTCTAGTATATTACCCATGTCAGAGCTCACGGCCCGACGCCGCCATCCCGGCTTCCTTATTATTATTTACGCGAATTACGACAAGAACCACTGAACCTCTTTAGTGCAGGAGGGAGGAACAAAACCTCGGAGGATACGCAGCCCAAAAATAGAACTCAGGAAAAATTTGGTGTGACATAAAGGACAATGTTCATTTCTGGCCTGGCGTGGACAAGCTGCTAATGAAAATATGAATTTGCCAAAATTTTTTAATTATTTTTTAAAGTATTCACTTAGTATAACTTTGTATNTTCTTACCACGCGAGGCGCTGCTTATAAAAACAAGAAAAATGGCGTCGAGTAGTGGTATTGTGATACTAAAAACGTACGTATTCAAAGGAATTTTCACAAAAAAGTACTATTTTAGAGACATTTACTATAGTGAATTGAGGAAATATTACGATTCACAAATAGGAGCAGTGAAAAAGCCGTGGACAAATGAAAAAGTTTTTGAGGTTATCCTGCACGTAAAAAACGCTAAGGTGACAATGGAATCTGGTGCTCGGAGGACTGCTGCGAAATATTATTGGTATGAAAAAATATAGTGTTATGGCTTCGTCTAGGTATAATTAAAATGTTTTTTTTTTATGCATAACAAGGCAGGTATTTAACCACAATCGTATCTGATATTAAGTGGGATGCAGTTTAGGACTTAATTAAAGAACTGATTATCGTAACTTATTTTATGTCATACTTTTATGTACCTACTTACCTATTTTATGTATTCTTTATTGAAAGTACCTACCATATTATTCATAAAAGTTGTATTATTGTTACTTAGGTAGGTAACGTCATCAGTTTAAATTAGTTTAGTGTTGTTTTTGTTACGAAAATATTTTAATTGCTTTAGGAGTAGCACGAATTTTAAGTTTGTCCTATTTTAATACTAGATTCCTGGTTTCTGAAATAACCAACATGTGTTTTATGATGGTCACCCTATTGCAACAATCATAGTCGAAATTTTATCAATTGACTGAATCGCCAATTTGCCTTCGGCATTTCATAGAACAGCGAGCGTTTGTAACCTGCCGACGCCGTTTGTAAAATGCGGAATCATACAATTTGCCTGCGACATATACATACTAGTAGCATTAAAGTATTTTTTGCCTTCTAGTCTCTCTTCGGTCAGATGTTTTGAAATCTCGAATACCTAATAATGTATTGATGACTGTATGATAGAAGTATGAGTTGTTACTCGTATGTAATCAAGACGTGAACATGATAAGGGTCATGTAAGTGAAACGAATTACTTATTGGACGTTGGCACGCGAAACCCGTGTACCATAGTTCGCGAAGGAATCCTGAATGGCATTCTTTGAGTTTGATGCTGATTTAGATTAATGTGAAATGATGCTTTAATTGTCAGCTTTTTATTCGGATTCGTAATTGATATTAATTGAAATAAAGCTCAACTTCTTGATTATTGTGATGAATCTACCTTAAAAAAACAAAGGCTTAGCTGGAGGGGTTAGCCGGAAAAAAAAATACAGAAATTAATTATTTTTTTATTTTTTTTATTTAGGCAATTAAACCTCTCTGGGAGGTTTATTTCTGCCAATGTCGAGTGAAAAATA